TCATGCTCTCTGTGTATATAAAATCTCCCTCCTGTATTTTCCACTGTATGCATCTGATGAAGTGAGCTGTAGCTCACGAAAGCTTATGCTCAAATAAATTTGTTAGTCTCTAAAGTACCACAAGTACTCCTTTCCTTTTTTAAAAATTGGTATAGAAATTGAAACAATATCTCCTTTGCAAAATAATCCTTTTATAATCTCACTCTTCTTCACTCCCCAGAAAAAAAGCTCAAGTAAAACGCAATATTAAAAAATATGTATTGATAAAGATGACCACTAGTTTTAGAGGCCCATGCTGTGTGTCTGCAGTGGGTAATCCTAATAAAACTGAGACAATTGGATTGTTCCTGATCTGGAGGGTCAATTGTTTTAAATTACAAACATGTAAATCTTTAGAATAATCTTTCTTAGCTTCTAGAGTACTCACTGCCTTGGCAATGCGATACAAAATAAAAATAAGCAATACAGTGCTACTGACACTTTTAAATAATACTTTTGCCCACAAAAACTATATTAAAATAACATTATTTAGGTTGCAAAGTCAAGCACTCAAAAGCTGGGAAATGCCAGATATATGGTTGCCTCTTCAGTTTTAGTTCTGTGCCCCCTCCCCCCCCCCCCCCGTGTGTATAATTACATAATAGTATAGTGCATACAGATGGAGTGGGGGGGCAAAACTAAGGTTTCTGAGGCAACCATACAACTGGCATTTCCTAGTTTTTTGAGTAATTGGCGTTTTGTGTGTAATTGTCTTGGACTTCTTAAGAAAAGGGGGGGAAAAACAAATTTTATCATGTGATTCAGTAACAAAATGGATAATATAAAATGTTCCCCAACCTAAAGATAGGGGGATCTGGTGGCACCCTCTATAATAACACAGATGAAAACTTTATCGAGTACTAAAACCAAAAAATGAGTGCTTTAAGCTTGTGCTCTGAAGGCTGCCAGACTTAGGCTCTAGGCTGGGGAATGAGTTCCCAAGGTGAACACCCTTTACTGGGAACTCCGCTGCTAGTCCTGCAGAATTAAACTCCAGGAACTAACTGTAATGATCTTGGGGTTCATTAAACAAACCAAATAAATGTGAAAGGAATAAAACTGGAGAGCTTCTGTGGTAAGCTGCTGCACACAGCCCTGGTGGTCCCAACCCCTGCTTCCATGGCACAACTCCAAACTCCTATATTCATAATACTGTCCCTTATGAGGGACCATCTCTAAATTATAATCTTCTACAAACACATCTCTACATCTTCCCTCTTAAAGAAAAACAAATTAACTCTTATATATAAACAACTAGCCATGCTCCAATTACACATTCTCAACCCATCTAGTACATTTCCGAAAACGCAATGTGTCTACTACCTAGAGAGGAGAGGTTACCAGCACATCGTTCTTGAGTGAGTCTTTACCACTCACTTTCCTCAAATACCCACTATCCAGGCAGGTTAGCAAGTCTCTCTGAGGCTGTGTCTACACTGGCAACTGAACGACAAAACTTTTGTCTTTCAGAGGTGTTTAACCTCTTCTCTCCTCTCCCACCCCCCCAAAGAGAAAAATAAGACAGACAAATGTTTTGCCACGACAAGCACCAGTGTGAACAGGAGCGCTCTCCTGCCAGCAATGCTAACGCCACTTGTTGGGGGTGGAAGTTTTTTGTCGGCAGAAGAGCCCACAAACAGTGGCTACACTGTGTGACTTTTAGTGACACGGCTGTAGCAACACAGTCTTGTCACTAAGAGCTGTGTAGTGTAGACATACCCTTAGTCTTTCAGGACGTTTAGTCTCCCACTCTCATCTTCTGAGTATCAGCCTCTCATTACCATGCGAGTTGTTCTCTCGTTCCTTTGTGCGTTGATGATAAAGGATCAGTCAGATGGGAAACCATAATCCACGTCAGCTATCAATGTGTTAGAACTTTCTGGGATTACTTGTATCCCTTCGATTACATCGAAATGTGTCTTCCTGATCTGTCCAGACTACATAAGGCCTTGGATGCAGCTGTTCTTTAATAATACCCCTTTGGCCGCAAGTATTAGAGGTGTGATTCCTCAGGGGTGCACACCATCACCTGGGTTAAGAGATGGGAGATCACAGGCCCTGTTTTCAAAATAATAATTCTGCTTCCATTTCTAATTTTTGTGTATTCCGCATGGTTTCATTGTTATCAGAAATTGGTAAATTAAATCTGATCCTTCTTCCCATTAACAGCCGAGCTGGAGAAAAGCCGTTCTCCAGGGATGTACTTCAGTAAACCAGTAATGCCCTAGACAAATCACCCCCCACAGTCAAAAATCTTTTTCATAAGGCTCTTTACTGTCCCTATAGACCTTTTCACAAGTCCATTTGATTGGGGGTAATTTGGACTTGATGTTTTGTGATGAAAATCCCATCTATGGCAAATTGCTCAAAATCTGCACTGGAACATTGCAGCTCATTATCACTAAAGACAATTTGGAATTCCATGTCTGGAGAAGATTCCCTTCATACTGGCTATCACAGACTTACTGTTAGTACTGTGCAGTGTGCAAATATTTGGATACAGAGAATAATGTGACTATAAAATAACCCTTTGATTGCCAGGTAAATAAGTCAGTGCCTACCTTCTGATAAGGCCTTTGTGGAACTGGATGTGCTTGACTTCTCTGCATTTTGGATCTTCAGCATTTTGCAAAATGATTATTTTCCCCACATTTGTGACAGTGTCTTTCTTGCCTTTGGAAAACTGTTTGGGGCCATGCTGTGATCCACACCTTCCACATATAACCGTCTGTACCCAGTCTTCCCCCTAGCAGTGGTTTTCGTAGCAAGTGGTTCTACTCTTTGATTTGACCTATTCTGGCTATATTCTTTTGTATTCAGTACATACCCTTCAGCTGTTTGGCTTGTGCTTTCACAGTTTCTGCTGCCTGCATATTTGGAGAGCTTTTTCTAAAGTTAAATCTCCTTCATGGAGCATTCTCTCTCTTAACACATTGTCTTTAATGATTCGGTCTCTGTCAGATCACTAAAGTCACAGGTTTTACTGAGTTTCCTTAATTCTGTGACATATTGCTCTGACTATGGTGTCATCAGTTTTTTGCATTCATGTAAAAAATTCATCTCTCTCAAAGGTTTCATTCGTTTTTGGCATGCAGTGTTCCTCAAATTTAATCAGTATTTTATTTGTCTTCACTCTTTCACCTTCTTCAAACTTAAAGTTGTTATAAATGTCCAATGCTTCCTCCACAGCAACATGCAAAAAGATAGATGAATTAATTCTATCGCTTTTTTCCCCGCTGCCCACTAAATACAATTCAAATCTCTGTCTGAATTTTTTCCAGTTCTCTGCAGCATTGCCTGACAGTTGAAGACTTGAAGGAGGTTGCAACAAACACATCCCTTTTTGGCTTTCCCTGTCCCCCTTTTTAAGCTAGTCAAGCTACTAGTGTACTCAACAAATACATGCAAAAGCCTCTGTGCCCAGTACTCCACATGCTTCTCTGGTGCCCCCCTTTGACTCTGCTTTCTGCTCCAAACAGAGGAGTTAACTTCAAGATGACTGTAGTTTCCTTCTCATTTGGCTCTTCTGACACCATGTAACTATCATGGGGTTCATTAAACAAACCAAATGAAAGAGAGGAATAAAACTTTTCTGAAAACAAACTGGAGAGCTGCTGTGGTGAACTGCTGCACACAGCCATATGGTGTTCCCAACCCCCCCCCCCCCCGCCTCCAAGGCACATCTCCAAATTCCTGTGTTCATAATACTGTCCCTTATGAGGGAATGTCTCTAAATTACAATATTCTACAAACATCTCTCTACACTAGCAAGATCACCTGGAATGCTCTTAGATAGCTCTGGCTGGGTATAAAGTGGAACACTCAAGTTGCTGGGTTCCAAACTACTCAGACCTTTAAAGAGCATCACCAATACTTTGAATTGACACTAAGAGGTCGACAGTAAACTGTTAGCTGTTTAACGGTCCATCAGACTTAGAATACGGGCAGCTGACTTCTGTTCTTTCTGAAGCTTCTTTCAGTTGCACCATTCTGTTCGGGTTTGATGCTGTAACCAATTACTATTATGCAAAATGACCTGGGACTTGCCTACTTGAGAGACTGCCTCTCTGTGATATTGCCAAAGATGTAGTCAGTGGAGGCACTTGAGATCAAGTACCCATAACATAAAAGAATGGTTAGTGTAGCATTCCCATTGTGGGTTCCTTGGCTTTGCAGCTCACTCTCCCTGCCTCCTTTGGTTAGAAATATCTCTTAATTTGTTCTTCAGGGCATGCTGGGAGGTTTTGATGCAGGTGGCAAGGGATATGGTTTAAGGTATTAAACTTTGTTTGGAGACAGCTGTTTTTGTAAACAAATGAAGCTGATTGGGATAGGGATTATACAAATTCTACAAGATTAAATAATGGCAGAGTGTACAGAGCTGGGATGGGCCCTCTTAAACATGTATCTTTATACATTGAAAGAAAATAAATAAATTTGGCTTGAAATCACTTGACTGGAATATGTTAAGCAGGGGTCCCTGTCTGTGCACAATAGGGCCTGCTTCCTAAAGGCAGTGTCCTGCATATGCTTCAGCACTTGGCTTTTGTTCAATGTATTGTTATGACACAGATTCAATAACTGCTGCAAAATAGTAAAGCTTTAAACCTAAAGACATCAACTTCTAAAAACCCTTTCTCTGCCTTAAAAATTTAAATAAACTTCCCTAATCACTGACAAAGCATTTTTCAAAATAGTGGCCAAAAAGACTTGAAACAAGGCATCAGTATTGCCAGATAGTATTGTAAAGCATTTTGGAGAAGGATAATCTTGTTTTGCATATCTAAAAGCAGGTTGTAAAAACTGCTGAGATTATACAATTTATAATGGAAATGCTAAGAGAACTTAAATACTGTTAAGTACAATATCAGCATATACTTAAGGTTACACTCTTTCTTTGCCTATAATACCAAACTTCTTTTTTCTCAAATGGCTTATTTTTTTTTCTTCTGGTTACACAGGGTTCTCAATCACTGCCACACTTGCAGATACAGACTGATTTACATCTTCCTTTCAAACTCAAACCAGAAGAAGGAGCTAATTTCTGGAAGAGCTGGGCACAAATAAAAAATGAGGATGTATGGAAAGATGCTGGAAAGAACCCTCAGGGATTTGGAAGTATGATTTTTAACTTTTCACCATTCACTGAAAAGTAATTTTTTTCCACTGAATGCATCCGATGAAGTGAGCTGTAGCTCACAAAAGCTTATGCTCAAATAAATTTGTTAGTCTCTAAGATGCCACAAGTACTCCTTTTCTTGAAAAAAAGATGTCCTTGTACATCATCTAAAGATTCAGGGCCTGATTTTGTTCAATAGTATCTTTCTTCACAAGTCATCCCATTGAAATCCATGATTAAGGGTTGCAGAATTAGGCTATTAGATATAAAACAAGGCTCTGTGTAAATCATGATTTCACAGACTGCACAGAAATGGTGAGATTAGCTCAATACTGTGACTTTTGCAACAGTGGGGAGGCGGAAGGAGGCATCCCTGTTTCTGCCTCCCCTCTGTTGGAAAAATCAACGTATTGGGTTCAGCTACTGCAGTTGGGGGTTGGAGATTGAGATGTCTCATCATGTGGTGCTAGCTGTCTGGCCTAGACTGCTACTGTTACTTTCTGTCTGGCCAGCAGGGAGACGGGAAAGGTGCTGACAATGCATGGGGATTAGGAGACCCTGGGCTGGCCTAACCTACGCCACAGGAGTCCCTGGCCGGCTTAGGGGAGACACCGCAGGAGCCGAGAGAAATTTTCCACTTGGAGCATGAGCATGTGTGTGAGGGGGGCCAGAGCTGGGATGGATAGCACCATGTGATGACACACACCCTGCCCCAGTTTGCCATGCCCACTCCCTCCACTGGCCCACCACTTACCTGCCCTCCCCAGGATGTGATCAACCTACTTAGCCCGCCCATAAGCAGCCTCTGCCTCAGCTGGGAGGTGGAAGCTGGGATGCCTGCTTTCTGCTGTTGGAAAAATTGCAGCAGTTCAGCGGGGCAGGGAACTCAGCAACTGTTCATATTCTGGTATTCCATGAAATTCCAACACTTACCTCTGAAGCTGTTGTGATTTAATACAAAAAATAATACAGTTTACACAGAGCCTTAGTTGGAAACTGCTCATTCAGAATAGTTCAACCTATAGCAGTTTCCAGAAACAGTACCAGAGCTCTTTTCTAGCAGTGTACTTGGTTATGTAGTGGTTTGTCACTTATAAAACCCCCAAACTTCTCAGCATCAAAAATATCATGAAAGATTTCCTCTTCATTGAAATCACACACGTATTAGAGAGAAGAAGGGTTTATGCTAACTTGACAAAGAACAGGAGAAAAATAACTTGGCTTAAACTTTGGCTTTGAGCAGGGGGTTGGACTAGATGACCTCCTGAGGTCCCTTCCAACCCTGATATTCTGTGATTCTAAATATGCTCTTTTCACATTATAGGAAGAAAACCAATGACTTTTAGGGAAGATGTCCTTTCAGTGCCAATAGCAGAACTGAATTATGGGCTGTGCCTAATGATTAAAGAAGCTAGAAAGCAAGATGGTTCCTCTTATGAAGCAGACATGTTGTATTATTTATTTCTTTGTATTCAAAAGGTAAACATAAAATTCAGTTGAATGGCTGTTGGACTCTTACTGTACATGGAGAATTAGATCTTACATGAAAAGTATTGTTTTCCCCTTCAGGACATAACCCATGAGAGCTAGTTGCCAAAGAAAATTTAAGAGAGCTGATTGTAGATACTCATGCCAAGTTGAAAAAGCATATATTCCCTTTCCTGAAACCGTGTCACTAATGCAGAATGTAATGTGTTCTGCGCAATCCCATAAAATAGTTTGTTAAAATATAGAATTAAACAGTGGAAGCTTAAAATTTTGAACCTGAGGATGGTGGGGGTTGGAATTGGAGGGGTTTGGGGAAGGGCACAATTTGGGCTTTTTCAGGCATAACAGGATTCCTCAATACTCAGCATACTAAAGCTTTCATGATAAGAGATCCAAAATAGTTGGGTGGCTGGGGGAGGGTGGAGGGGGAATGGGAATGGGACGACCCACAGCTTGTTGTTCAGTCCATCCTTCAAGATGTGTTGCTAAGCGAACTTAGTGTGGAGCAGGTTTTAGCCTATAAAATAGATAGGGCTCAGGTGCAGGTAGTGTTAACAGCCATCAGTTGAACTGTTAGAACATAGGTATTAATTTTGTTAGCGTAGATGAGGCCAGTGATAGTAAATTTGCACACACTGTTCCAATAAGTCTTAAATACCTGTATTGCTGATACCTGGTCAATAGGACTAATGAGCTTTATATTCTTGAAGTGTTTCTGAATTCACTGTGTCCTTGCAAAACTCACTTTCCAGTTTATTGTTCAGATGACTAAAGTCTAAATGGAGTAAGTTGATGTATATGCTTGTGTCACAGGCATTATTGAGACAGACTATTTGGGTGGAAGGGAATCTGGTTTCATTTTTCTCCCTGTAATAATTTAAATAGAACAAACTTAAAATCCAATTTTTAAAAATGTACTAGTTTATGGGAATTGCGCTCTCATGCAAAAGTCAGTAGAACTTTGTCAGTGGTTCATTTAAAACATGAGATGATTGTAAAAAAAAAAAAAAAAGAATTTAAATTCCAACATGCTAGGCCAATCCACTAGGGAAAATGTTAGTGTGAAATGATGAAGACTTACTGATGTTCCTGTTCTTCTGTACTGAGTGAGTAATGTTTTTGTAGAGTTTACATTCTGAGCCATTTTATGGTTGAGATGACACAGAGGTTAACTAACTTTGTTTTACTAGATCTCATTTTATAACTAAGCTTTCATTTCAGTTATTATCCTACCAACATCCGTTTCTTTTTTTATTCATAGTATATGTTTGACAATGACAGAATTGACAACATTTTTGCTGATCTTTATTATGTGAAGTTTTTGGAAAGGCTTCATGGCGTGATGAAGGGATGGTGTCCAAGAGTGAGCCCCTCTGGTAAGTGGAGAAACATTGGGGGGGAAATGAAGTCTGTACTTGACTATGTTCTGACATGAATTTATTAGTATCAGTATTTGTTTTCCAGGGTATGTTCTGTCTAGTTGTATCATGGAGGAAATGTTATGGGACTGCAAACAACTTGGAGCACATTCTCCTGCTACTCTCCTGTTCACACTGATGTATTTCAACACTAAGTAAGAATGTTTTCTATAAAAGTCTTCCATGTCTGAGTTTATGTAGCCTACCAAATGGCTTAGTTTTTGTAACTTGCTGAAAAAGATTTCCCAAACTCCTTCTATCCCCTGCATACCAAACAGATGAATTGGTAAATATACTTTTAATGCTTGCCAAAACCTTACTATTTGTGTTTTGCTCAAATTCTCATTATCTCTTGATGAATAGTGCACATGGTGAACTGAAGGGGGCGGGGGAGTAGATAGTGCATGTTGGGAGTAGTCATTAGATTTATTTTCCCTGATTACCCATATCTAATTTTTCATAAGATAAGTACTGAAAGACAAACCTCTTATCATAACTTAAATAATTCATTCTCTTTTTTTATACTGCTTTCTTTACAACAGAACTATCATGTTGGTTATTCTCACAACCACAAACAATATTTATGTGAAAACCACTGAAGGACTCATTACTTGAGTCTTATAAGATACAATCCCTGTATGCTGCTTATGTAAATTCTTAATAACTTGGTATTTCTTTTTTTTGTCCTGTCAGTTTCTGAACATCCATTAATATTGTTTTCAGTGAAAGCCCCATTTTAAATGCCAGGCAAACTATGTATACATTGCAAATAAACCACAATTGAAAGGTAATATATTATTCATTTGTTCAGGGGTTGGCAACCTTCGGCACGTGGCCCATCAGGGTAATCCGCTGGCAGGCCACGAGACATTTTGTTTACATTGACCATCAATAGGCACGGCCCCCTGCAGTTGCCGTGGTTCACCGTTCCTGGCCAACGGGAGCTGTGGGAAGCGACGGCCAACACATTCCTGCAGCCCACCGCTTCCCACAGCTCCCATTGGCCGGGAACAGCAAACTGTGGTCACTGGGATCTGCATGGGGCCATGCCTGTTGATGGTCAATGTAACCAAAGTGTCTCGTGGCCTGCCAGCAGATTACCCTGATGGGCCACGTGCCGAAGGTTGCCAATCCCTGCATTAGTGTCTTAAGCTATTACACTTCCCTCCCTCCTCTTCCCCCCACCACTTGCTTACCCTAATTGTATAATTTAGAATTTTAATGTACTTAATTACATTGGCATTGAATTGTTCATCTCAAATTGGAATTTAACTTTCTAAAAACAGGTTGGAATCAAGAAGTCCTATAATATATGTTGACTTATTCTTCCTTTGTGTAAATATATTCTTTCTCTGTATAAAACTAAATATTCTGATATTTATAAGGTAGATATTAAATCAATGATTCTTCCTGACCGCATGCTGGTTGTATTCAATTATATTACAAGATGATCTTTGACTCTATTTAGGATGTGTATTGACAAAAGCATTAAGATAAACATTTACTAAATTTTAAAGTAACTGTTTCAATTCATGTTGGTCTGAATTTGACTTCCCTTTAAAATTATCTGGTAAATAATATCCTCTTAAAATATTTGTTAGTGCCTTTACTTTAATAAAAAAAAAATCACTGTTCTGTGCAAGGCAAGTTTTGTATTTTTCGTCTGTTACTGCAGTTAACAAAGAAATACCATTCCTAGTTCTTTTAAATAGTTTTTCTTTCTGCACCAGAATCAACAAAAACACAAAGCAGTATTAACATTAATTACAAGATGTGTCCAAATATTAGGGGGTATAGAGACTTAAATGTTTTGCCAAAAACAGAAATTTAAAATAAACTTCATTTTGTAATCTTATAAAAGACAGCATTACTCTTTTTATAGTTGAAATGAATTTCAGTGTGTAATGATTTTAAACAGATTGGAATTAAATAACATCACAATAGAATGTGCATTCCTAGGTCACTGTTACACACTTTTGATCTGTCATTAGGCTAAAGATTAAGGCCCCAGTTCAAAGCACTTAAGCACTGATCCAAAGTTCAATGAGGTAAATGGAAAGACTCCCCTTGAGTTCTGTTGGCTTTGGATTATGGTTTTAACCATGTGCTTAGCTTCAAGCACATACTTAAATGCTTTGTTGAATAAGAGCTGGAGAGTATGTCTACACAGGGATTAAAGACCTGGTTGGCCTAGGTCAGTTGCCTCAGGCTAATGGACTCAGACTGCAGAGCTAAAAATCGCTGTATAGATGTTCAGTCCCAGGCTGGAGCCTGAGCTCTGCGACCCTCCCCCTCGCAGAGTCCCGGAGCTCAGGCTCCAGCTCAAGCCCTAACATCTAGGCTGTGGTGTTTTTTTGTTTTTTTTCAGCCCCAGAGCCCAATTCAGCTGATGTGGTCTAGCTGTAAGTGTTTTATCCCTGTGTAGACATACTGTAAGTGCCTTCAACTACCGAAAAGTGTACCAATATTTTAACCTTCCTCTCATTCCCCAAATAAAAAAAAGTTTGAAGCATTCAGAACGCGTTTATTTTGAAAGATTATTCTGTTTACTATGCCGTAATAAATAGCTCTCAGAATCTGATTTTGGGCTGTTACAATTATTTTTTAGTCTGTCTTCCTGTTTCTCTTTCATGTTGATTTATGTTCCTTTTATTTATGGTGGTGGAAGGCAGAGCTGATTATTTGCTATTAGAGATTCTTTATAATGTTGCTTAAGACTCCTTGGTACAAATTAGGAGTATACAACAAGTGGAGTAAGATCTCAAACAACCCTTGAGTTTTCACTAAAGCTCCAATCCAGCTGAAACTTTCAGTGAGACGACTCACAATGTGTAAAATTAAGCACGTGCATAAGTCTTTGCAGGATTAAGTGATGTTTTCTAACATAGTATTGGATCCTGCAAATACTCACTTTGTTGGGCTACTCATGTGAGCAGAGTTACTTCCAGGATCAAGTCCATAGATTAACCTCCAAAAGGAAACACCTGTATAGTGAGATATTAAGGAATGTTTCAGCTCTCTGCCCTCACTTCTGGTTTTGGTACAATGCAGAAGTGACCTTTTTAAAATTTGATGTGAGGTCTAGATGAGCTCAAATAATTGGTTGAAGTCAGAATGTGACTTTGAATAGATTGGATTATATTCTGAATTCTTGTTGTGCCATAAAACAGTACTAGTGAATCCAATTACTCTGGGTTTACACAGGTATAGCAGGTCAGGATTTGGTCCACAGTCCAAAGCTATACTTTTTATTGAGAATCTGGAAAGCCTTTTAAAAAATATTTCTCCCCCCCTTTTTTTAAGTACTCCCTGCCGAGTCTGCCAACTCTTTCTCTCTCTCCAAAACTGAGTTATAATTGTTTTTCTCTTGTATGTGAGTAGGTATTTCATATTGAAAACTGTGGAGCAGCATGCACAGCTAGCCTTTTCCAAAATTCTGAAGCAGACCAGGAAAAATACAGGCATCGGAAAGGACAAATGTTCTATAATACGATTCCTGAGGCTTTATGGACAGATTCTGGGAGGACGAAAAGGTTTGAACTCATTAGACTAGGATAATAACCTTTAAAATGATTGTGTACCATTGTTTGCCACTAAGATTGTGAAGGACATGACAAAAAAGCCTTCTTGGCAATTTGTTTGGAATCTGAGCACTGCTGTTAGTGTACATATATGCTTAGACCCTGTTCCTGCAGAGATAACTGTAGGTGAACCCCTCCAACTGTGCAGAGCCCCATTTAAGTCAGTGGGGTTCTTAAAGGAAGCAGGGGTTTGCTGGTGTGGAGTCAATCTCAGGACTGGAGCTTTAGATTGTATTCCCCAGCCCTAGTGATGCACATCTAGGTTGGGACCCTCAAATGCACTCAGTATTGGCCTAACTCTGCACCCACTGAAATCAATTAGAGCAAAGGTAGGCCAGCGCTAAATACAGGGTATTCTTAAAAATTCCAACTTTCATGTTTTTGGAGATAGCTTTAATAAAAGTTGAAAAAAATCTACTGTCTCCCTTTTTTCCTTTCTCCTCTCTCCCTTCATGTTTCTTTTTTTTCATCTTTTCTACATCTAGTTCTTTTAGAAACCCAGACATAGGATTTCTTTCATAGATGGCGTTACGCTATGTATATTTTAGATCACTTATGCTCAAAATGCTTGGGCCATTTCCTTGCTCCCTGAACTCCTCCTAATTTACAAACATGCACACACACCTCTGCCTTGGTGAAGCATATCTGCCCTCTTCAGTGTGTGTGTGTGTGTTTCTCTCCTTAAAACTATAACCTGTCATCAATCTGTGTGTGGAGTTCACATTGACAGTCTGTAGGGTAGAGGATTTTTGTCTCCAGCATACTGGCAGGCTATTGTCCCAGACATTTTCCAAAATGGCTGGAGCCACGGAACTAGCCTATTTAGAAGTTTCACAAACTACAACTCATTCTGTGCTCAACTGTCAAGTGATTGGCTTCATTCTCCAGTTACTACAGGTCTACTTTACATACGCTCTGCCCCATAATGGTTGAGTATCTTCTCTGCGGCCATAAGGCATAGTAGATTGCTTAAAGAAACAGCATCAGATATATGCTCAAATGAAATCCCTGCGCCCACTGCCTGAGAGGATTGTGCATGTACAGATGAACTCTTGAGGTGATTCCTAAGTTATAGAATGAGAGGGTACATTCAGACTCTACAAGAGCATCAAACACTGGTTACTATAACTTTTCTGAATAGAGTTGGTCTCCAGAAAGGCTGGATGCATATTTTATTCTTTTGGGTCACTTTCTGCAAGTATTGAACAGCGCATGGCTTTCCATAAAACTTTCTTTATGCTGCAAAAGTTTGAGGCACCCCTATTATATGCTTTGTGGGAATAACTTGCACAGCTTCCCTATGTTACCATGTGATCTTACTGACATTTCTTTCAGGTTGCTTGGTGGTTGCTTGTTCCAGCTTGTCTTAAATTGAGGCAGGGACCCTCATTTTTTTGTTTGCCTGGGGCTGCAACGCTGATTGAGGCCTCTCAGTGCGACTTTAATATAAACCAGTAGGCATCCTGTATATGACGGTCAAAAATGCTAACCACTTAAGTTTAAGCATTTCAGATTATTAATGAAAATGAGTTTGAATAGTTGGGTTGCAGCTATTCCTAAAGAGACTATGACTTGGTTTCCAGAGGGTCTAAATCAACTTAAAAATATATATATTAGTTAGGACTTCATCCAAAGAAATTGTATAGGATTTACTTAAAAGAATGGAGGATTTGGAGTCCTTAGGAAGGTTGACAGTATTACCTCTTCTCTGTCTCCCCCTCATCTCCTTTCTCATTCTGCCAGTTTGGGGAATGACACTTTGTCTACTTATCCAGTGGAAGCTAAACACTACCCACCAAGACATGCAACAGAATTTTTACCTGTTTACAAATCAGTCCCTTCCACGATGCCCAGGCATTCACTAGGCTAGTGAAATGGCATCAATCCTAGAGATCCAGCTCCTGGAGCCATTGAGCGGATTGCAAGGGAAAAGTCCTGTCTCTTATACACTTCTTTTTGCAAAGCATTTTAAAATGGTTCCTAGCTCAGAAAGCATATGTAATTTTTGAAAAGGATTTGCAAAATCAAGTAATTTAAGAAGCAATCACTCAGTCATAGGTTGTTTTAGTGGATTTTCAGAGGTGCATGTATGCCCATAAAGTCAGACTGCTTTAGACTGGATCTGCAACAGCTATGATGGGGTTCTGCAGACACAGTGAATGAAATCCTGGCCCCACTGAAATCAATAGGACTTTTATTGTTGACTTCACGGGGGTCAGGATTTCATCTGATACATTCAGAAAACTCATCACTGGTAAATAACTTTTTACATGAACAGTTTGTTTATATTAGGTTAAATCCTTATGTTTTAGGTCAGCCATACAACTCACAGTAGACGTTTTTATAGCTACATGTTTTTAGCTGCCACTGTCTGCCGGGAGTACTTCACTGTTGCATGAGCTTCACCCTCTGTTTCCTATGATAAAAATTCTGCATACCGATAATCAGTATGGCTGACATTTATCTGCTAGTACAACATACCAGATTGGCTTTATTTTCCTACGCTGTCAATCATTTATCCACAGACTAGGTCAGACATTGGCAAGAGCAATACGTTTCTTATACTACAATAATGGTGTGCCTGTTGTTGAAATATTTAGCTGCTATAAAAACATTTTTTTTAAATGTTGAAATAAGACAGTTTTTGATCAATAGTACTATTTTAAACATTCATCAGTAAAAATACTTTATTGAAACTAAATGCTGTATTGTGAACATACTGCACACTATTTGTCTCTTTTTTGATTTGCAGATGAGACTTACGTGGAACAACCTGAAAACCCGGACAACCCTTTGCAGTGCCCCATAAAACTGTATGACTTCTATTGCTTTAAATGGTAAGGCTCTAAGGACTTATTTTCTACACTAGTTTTAAACATTTGATGGCTTTCAACACATTTCATCATACTAGCTATAACAACGTCAGCAGTTCACAGGGAAAGATTTTCTCTTCTATAATGATTGACTTCCCTCATTTAATACTTGGGCTTCACACCACAACAAATACCTATTCCAGTCTGAGTTTGGCAAGAGAGGATCACTGCTAATTCAAAGAGGGATGCCTAAAGCTAGCAACTTTTTATGTGTGGGAGCAAATATATCTTATTACATAATAAAGAAGAAAGTCAGTACTAATTTTACTCTTAAAAGGAGTATAACTAAGTAGTGTGTTGCTTGGTATAATTCAAACTTTCCTTATAGCCCCCAAGGTGTCAAAGGGCCAAGTGATGCCTTCTATCTGGTCCCTGAACCAGTCGTGGCACCAAACAGTCCTATCTGGTACTCTGCTCAGCCTGTGAAAGTGGATGTGATGGAGCAGATGTTGACTAGAATTCTGGTGGTCAAGGAGGTCCAAGAAGCACATGCGAAGACCCATATATCAGCATAGCAACAAGGACAAATGGATAAGTTACAACAATGCCCTTAATATAAAATTGTAAATACAATTTTTTTCATAAGGCATGGAAGACTGTCTGTAGCTAATGCTTTCTTTTTACTAGAAGATGACTGAAAGCTATGAGTAAATAGCCTTTAACAGTACCAATTTGCTAAATTCCACAAAGTGGATTTCCTATTTTGTTCATATTTGTCTAATTATACTTGCATCTAAAGAGGGACAGATGTGGTTCTAGTACTAATACTGTGAAACACCAGCTAAATCAGAGTCCCCAACGTGTCATTTTGATTAATTTATAAGTACATAGCTCTTTAAACTGAATTGACAGTGGGAAGTGTATACAAATTCAGTTTTTATCAAAGTCCTCAATGGAAATAGTGGTTACTGAATTATATTACTTTACACTGTGACTTACTAATAGTGCAATGCAGGCATAATTTTCTCTATAAAATGAGTGACTTTTACATTTTTTTTCCTTGTTAAAAGGATGCTTCCATGACTAGTCTATTTGCAAAGGATAGACTTTGGAGACATAGTATTTTGAGAGGAGTAGGAAATCTAACTGCCTTAAATGCCTTGTGGCCAATATTTGTATAAGGTTGGATAGCTTACATTAAAACATTACTTTCTTTAGTCAGCAGGGAAAAAATTTACCTCACTTTCGAAAGCTGGGGCAATAAAGACACCTGAAGCTCTGAGACTGTTCCTAATTCTAGGTTGTGGGTATGTGCATCGATAAATATCTCACTACACCCTTGACACTTTATTGGAATCAACTGTGTTATGCGAGCCTTCTGTACGTACACAGATCTATACAAATTTACCTCAGTTCAGTAATCTAGTGCCTTACCACAACCCAGCCACTTAAACATTGTAGCAATGGCTGTAAAGTATCTTGTTGATGTAAGTTCACCGTTTCCAGGGAGATTTTGTATATTTTTCACATAATACTGTATAGATCAACAGTAGGAAAAATGGAGTTTGTTAGTGGAAGTATTATAGATTATGCTATGTTATCTTATTTACAAACTCAACACTAATTGTCTTGAAAATAAACTTTGCTTTTGATAGTGTTGTCAAAATTACATTTAAACATGAAGCTGAAACAAATGAAGTTGACCCACTGTTTTTGAATAGCTCACTAAAACCAGACTCGGATCATATTGTGCATAAACAATAAATGAGTTAAGATCACATCTCTTCAAATGCTTATCGACTGAAGAAGAATGCTGCTAGTTTATATTTGTACTATGAGTGGAGGAAGTAGTTTTTGATCCAAGATGGGAAATGTCACTATTGACAGTGACAAATATCTATTGCAGTGCATGACACCTTGTGTCAGCATGGTTGATTTAAAATTAAATAGGGATGGCATTTGATCTGGTTTATACCAGTATGTACATGTTTCTCACTCGCTCTCTGGATATACAGACATACAACCTGCTGTAAATATCCAGAAGAATTTAAATGAACATGTTGCAAATTACCATTCTGAACATATTTTTCTCCCCTCTTTACTATGAAGAGAGAAGGTGAGATGGGTAAAACCAAGTAAATAACCCAGCCCATCTCTGCCAATAGAGGCTTGTTCCTATAGCCTTCTCTAAACTCATTTTCAATTGAAAATGATAGGGCTTCTTCCTCTCAAGAATAGCCTCCCTTCTGAAGTGATGAAGCTTTTCCTGCTCAGCTTAAATTTTCTTTCCTAATTTTCTCTCTTCCTGGTTATGCTTTCAGAATTCCATCCTTCAAAGAGTCAGACATCTCTCCCTTTAGTCTTTTAGTTAAACTGTCACAATCAATCCTCCCACCTCCTTCGGAACTGTTTTTTTTCCTCAGAACTACCTCTAGTTTGTCAAATTGCACTATATGATGCCCAGAGCATCGTAAATGCGGTTGTCAAGAGCAAGTAACTGGGATTAGTTTTTGCTGAGATGAATAGGCCAATAGATACTTTGTAACTGGAGTCAAACTAGTATGGTAAAGACATGATATCAATAACTGACAGACATAGAATAGGTCTTAAATCCAGTAACTCTAAAGGGCTTGGATCCTGGTTGTTGCAACTACTTGCATGACCTCCTACTGCTTGTTCTTACCAAGGGATTTTAATTATCTTTAGGTTGAGCTAAGGCACTTTACACAGCATTTAGAGTATGTGATCAGTAACCTCACTGGAAGATTGAATGCTGCTATTGTGGCTATAAAAGCATCATCTATACTGCATCTTCAAATCATTCATAGGGAGTATATGCATACTGTAAACATAAACAGAGTAGGAAGAGATTAGGATTCATCCACTCATTTCTGACAAACAATTAACCTACAACTTCCACACCCTTCTTGACTGCTAAGACACCGGCACAGGAAGCAAATGTTTGAAGCGCATCTTATGTTACTAAGTTTACTATGCAATCAAAATTAGCCCAGCTGTTTAACTTAGACATATGAACTATTGTAGATAAATTTTCACTTCCAAATGATACCCAGAGAAAGGTAAAAGTGCTGTAGAATTTACAATTGCGGATAATGTGAAAGCTGAGTTTATTTAGTCTTACAAGGCAAAGTTAAATTTTAATTGGTTAGGATGTCTAGAGTATGTAACTGAGCCTTCATTCTTAAGATCCATCCCACTTTGAATGAGCCTTTCTCTTGTTAGTGGGAGATATGATTCAGCTATATGAAAGGAAGTTCACAGCCCAAGTAAACAACCTACCCGGTTACTATTGTCACAGTTAATATAGTGGCATAACTTGGAAGTGGATAACTTGGTTACAAATAACAAGGTCTGGTACAGATGCTACAGTAGGATATGCTACAGTACATTTTGGCAAAGCAGCAGCTCTGCTTTAGTTAAGGCAGGGAAGCCCTTTCTGTTTAAAGGTTGACTGAGTGCTCTAAAAGCCCCATGTTTATTTGAATTGCTTTGAAATTTGGTATGCCTCAGAGGATGGCAGGTAGAGTTAGTGATCCAAAGTTGGAGTTATCTGAGCAAGGAGTTTCTGAGATCCAGCATTTCTTAAGGTTGACATTCTACCAATGGCTTTGTGTAGACTGGGGAATCAAACTATGGCTCTGATCGTGCCCCAAATGGTCTGTCACTCATACTAGCTACTGTATAATACCTACTAGCCATTAAGGGAAGTAATATTGAAAATGTTATTCAAAAGAGTTAAGCCATTTAGATGTGTGCTAATTCCTTGCCACAGTAGTGACAGCTGCCAACCTACATAATGGTCACTTAATAGATAGTTATTGACTCAACAAAAACATTTTTGTTTAAAAAAACCCAAACGGATATTTACTGACAAAATACTTCATTAACACAGTTAGGGTTGGCTTGTGGAATTTCATGCCCTTCCAAAATAATGAGCTTTGTGCACTCTAACCTCTGAAAACCAGGAAGTGAATAGTTATGGTATGTGCTAATGCTCAACTCTTCCCACTTTGAATGACACCCCAATACACCTATTATCCCCCTTCCTCCCACCCCCCACTGCCTTTAGAAATAGTGAAGAACAGTCAGGGAATAGGGCATATGGACACTGAAAGACAGAGTATAAGGCAGATTGCCTCATATCACAATCCTAGTTCTTTGAGATGTGTTGCTCATGTCCATTCCATGTTAAGTGTGTATGCTCACCACATGCACCAGTGCCAGAAGTTTTTTCCTCATTGTTAGCTGTAGGGGACTGGCTCTGGTGCCTCTGGAGTGGAGCACATATGTGCTGATATAAGGGACGCCACCGGCTCCCCACTCCCTCAGTTTCTTCTTATCGCCGGTGATGGTGCTGGAACATCTCCTTGCTTCAGGAAGTACTCTTACTCAGAGGTTCTTCCTATCGTTCATTGTGTAAATAGTTTGTTAGGTAAGTAGTTCTTTTTGTTCTCTTAATAGTTAGCTAATAGACTGTAGATAAGTTAGACAGTCCCCTAAGAGACTTAGCCCAGAGATGGGGCATGCCCCAGTCCCCGGGCTTCAAGCCTTGTGATCGCTGCAAAAAGCCTATGCAAATCAGCGACCCTCATCAAAGCTGCTTGAAGTGTTTGGGGAAAACCCATGTTTGGGGAAAACCCATGTTAGCGATAAGTGTCACATCTTCAAGAGCTACAAGACCAGAACTAAAAAGGAGCGGGACATAAGACTAAGAGCATTCCTCGTGGAATCGGCCCTTGTGCCGGTCGCAGAGATCGGACTCCGTACCAATGTCACTGTGCTCAGGGCAAAGTGCACTGCTGGCACTGGCCTCCCAAGGCCGGTACCTGCTAAGAAGCAGAGGAAGCACACCGGGAGATGGCATTCCCTGACATCCCATACTGAAAAGTGAAAGTCCAGAGAGCAGCATAGGCCCAGGCGGGGAGCCCAGCCAGGTACATGCATCGCTGGTGAGGCTATCCAGCCACACTGGGTAGTGGCGGAGGTCCCATCCACGCCGGAGG